TTCATTCAATTGTTTGCATTGTGCAAGTGGCAGGGCTGTACCAGCTTTCCGGGGGCGGCGCCTCGGTTGGGGAGGATGGGAAACGAGTACTATTCGTGCAGGCGGCAAGAGCTTACCCGCGGCGATGAAGGATGCTCCTCCGGGCAGAAGGCGCCGTCCGGCTCCGTGAGGTGTCATAGTGCCTGGAGCATGTCCCGACGATGGTGACTCAGAATTCCTGCCAGTAGCGACGCCCGCGGCCGGAGTGCGTGCAGCTTGTCCCGCAGGACGGCGATGGTGTGCGACGTCGAGGGCTCCTGCTGCAGCACGATCGGGACGGTACCCACGCCGACGAGCCACGGGTTGAGCGAGACGAGGTAGTCGTCGTCCCAGGTGCGGATCTCGCCCGAGCAGAGGCGGCCGATTGCAAACGCGTCGAGCACGAGCGGCTCTGAGGCGCCCTCGCCGTCGGCGCAGGTGCGGTTGGCCCGGCACGGGAGTACGCAACCCTGATGGCGACGGCGGCGAGCGGGAGAGTCGAGAGGGGGATGATGTCGGGGGAGATGGCGAGAGATGTGCGCCATGGACATACCAAGCGTTGGGGCGGAAGGGGGAGTGAGCGCACCGGCCGCCAAGACAGCGAACACGTGTCCTCCGATCGGAGGACAATCTCTACCTCTCTACCCCGCATCTAGGCGCCTTCACCGCCGCCTCGTCCGGCGAGATCCTCTGCGGGGCGTCGCCGCCTGCGTGGCTGAAAACGCCAACATCAGGGCGGGAGGACGGCCTTGTGTGCGGAGGACTCAGAGCACCGCGTGAATACGAGGGGTACGAGTGCAGCGGAAGACAGCGGACTCCCACAGGCTCGAATACAGCTGAGCCCGTGTCCCCTCGCGCGCTCGCGCGCTAGGTAGGAGACAAAAGAAAACGCGTTCCGCTTCTAGGGACGTCGCCGACGACGGCCGCGGCGCGGCCGCACAGCGCCTCACGCAAGAGGGGCGCCGCGCTCGCGCCGCGGGCGGAGGTGCGCACGACCAGCAGCTGCAGCAGCTCGCCGTACGCGCGCAGCAGATGGGCGCCGTGCTGCGGCGGCAGCGCCGACGCGCCCAGGCCCCGCCAAAGGGCGGCCAGCAGCGCGGCGGCGGGCGGGAGTGCGGCGGAGGCGGGCGGCTCAAAGAGGGGGGCGGGCAGGAGGGAGACGAGCGGGAGGAGCGCGCGCGCGACGGTCGGCGCGGCGCCGTGGCAGCCGTGCTCGAGCAGTGAGACGAGGCGCGGCAGCGTGTGGCGCGCCGCCTCGCTACACGAGACTGCGGCGCCGTGGTCGCGCAGCAGCAGCAGCAGTGGCTCCCAGAGCGCGGCATGGCAGGCGGGCTCGCTCTCCTTGAGGCCGCCGAGCAGCAGCCCCGCCATCTCGGCCGCGGTGCCCGCCGCCAGCGCGGTCGAGTGGGAGAGGACGGATCCCGCCCAGCCGTACGCTCCCGTCCGCACAAAGCTCGACGCGGCGCTCCCCAGCCTCCACACCTCGCCGCCGCACAGCGCCGCCTCGAGCGCCGCACGCGCACCCGACGCAGGGGCCTCGCCGCTCTCCGCAGCGACCGCGAGCAGGTGCGACGCCGCCCGCAGCGCCGAGCCAACCCGGCGAGCGTGCGCGTCGGCGGCGGCGGCGGCCTCGTCCTTGTCGCTGGCGGCGGCCGGCGGCGCGGAGAGGGCGCGCTCGGCGAGGCCGCGGGCGAGCTCGTCGCGGCAGAAGAGGAGCGCGTCCGCGTACTTGCGCGGGTTGGGGAATGCGACGCCAAAGGCCGCCGCCGCCGCCGCCGCCGTGCCGCCGTGAGGGTCGTGCTTTGCGCACAGCCAGGCGGCCATCAGCGGCCGCAGGTGGGGCGCGAGCTGGCGGCCGAGCAGCGACGCGAGCTGCCCCAGCGCCGCGCACGCCGATTCGCGCACCTGCCACGACCCGTCGCCGCTCAGCCGGACAAAGTGCGGCACCCAGTGCGGCATCAGCTCCGCCGCCCAGCTGGCGCCGTGCGCCGAGAGCGCCTCGCGGAGCTCGCCCAGCGCCTTGAGCTTGGTGACGGTGTCGCGCTTGGCCATCTTGCGGAGGAGGAGGGCCTGCTCGCCGTCCGTGGACCCGTCGAGCATCGCCGAGAGCATGTTGGACCGTCGGCGCGGCTTGTGGCGTCGTCTCTCAATAAGCCAATCACGCATTTTCTTATGTGTGCGCAGACCCGGCGCGAATTCTTCATGTCAAACCTCGGCCTTGAAGGCGACGCCCGCCCGACATGTTAGACATGTTATCGTGCCAAAAGTGGGCCCACATATCCGGTAACACACAACAAGAGAGAGAGTTTCTCCCAGTAAGCTAAAAGTACACAACAAGGAAAGGGGTCGGATTTGCCGTGGCGGCAACAGGGTGCAGCAGTTTCAGTCCTCATTCGGGGGGCGGAGGTGATAGATCACATTTGCGTGGGACCGAGAGGGCCCCGGGCCCCACTGAAGCAGGAGCCTAGTGCCTCAAGCCTCAGGCGCCCCCTCGGAGAAGCTGGAGTACGTGCCGTTGACATACACGGTGGTCACCTGCGCGGAACGGGAGGCGCATGTGTGTGGCCAGTAAGACTCGCGTCTGCCCATGGGGTGAGAGAGAGGAGCGCACCTCGACCACCGGGGCAGCCGCCTTGCCGGGGCACACGTTCTTGCCCGTGAAGCCTCCAGGCGGGCTTGCCCCTGGCCCGTAGCCCGCCTCGAGGGCCTCGTACAGACCCCCGTCGATCTCACCGCAGACCCCCCACTTGCCATTCGCGACGTCGGTGTCGCACCACACGACCTCCGCAGCCCCCTCCTGGAAGTGCTCCTTGACGCAGCCGCCGGCGGTGGCGACCTTGGTGTTCTCGTTCTGGCTGTGGTCGAGGGAGGTCGTCGTCGGGTTGCATGCGCACTCGGCCGGCGCGGAGGAGAACGAGAGGGCGGCCGCGACGAGGGCCAGCATTGGGAGAGTGCCGAGCTCGGCGGTTTAGACGGCCCCTTACACGTGTCAGCTCAATGAATAAATAAATAAATAAGGGCTGGGTCGAGGACAGACACGTCCCCACCTTTGCAGGATTTTGCAAAAGCGAGGGGGGAGGGCGCATCGCGGCGCGGAGAGGGCTGGGCACGGGTACAGGGGGTCTCTCTCGCATAGGATACGCACTCGGCGGCACGAGGGCAGGGCTGGGCGTCCTATTTGTGCTCCCCTCCGTATCCCTCGCTCTTGGGCACTATTCATCTGACCACTCATCAGAGGGGCTTCTAGGCGATCGGCCGCGCTCTTGCGCAGCGCAGCGTACGGGCCACGCCACGCAAAGCCGACCCTCAGTCACAGTCTGCCCGAGAGGCTGTCGGAGGAAGGCCTGGCAAGCGTGTACTCGCCTCCTCCGCGGCCATGCCCTCCGCCCGGGCGAGCGAGGAGCGGGGACACCACCATTTCTGGAATTGTGTGTCCCCGCATGACGAACCGAATTCTTCTTTTGTCAGCAGCAAACCTCGGCTCTGAGTGCCGCTTCATCACCCAAGTAAGGCACGCGACGTGGGGCTACTTACCCTCTCACTCACCCTCAGGCTAGCAGAATGCCAGGCTACAAGGTTTGCGTGGTCGGCGGCGCGGGAGGCATCGGGCAGCCGCTCTCGATGCTCATGGCGATGGACCCGAACGTGGCGGGTGTGCTCAGCTTCCTAACGCTCTCTGGTCACCGCGGAGCCGAGCGCTCTCGACCTCCCTCGCCCCTCCCGCACCCGCCTCGCGCCCGCGCGCCACGCCCGACCCTCACGCCTCCGCCGCGCGTGCCTCCTCCTCCAGAGCTGTGCGTGTACGACCTGACGATCGCGATGATCCCCGCGGACGGGGTGGCCGCCGACCTGGGCCACCTGAACAAGGCGGCCAAGGTGAAGGCGTACGCCTTCGACAAGGACGCGCGCGCCGCGGAAGTCGCCGGCGAGTGCCTGACCGGGTGCGACTTGGTGCTCGTTCCAGCCGGTGTGCCACGCAAGCCGGGGCAGGACCGCGCCGCGCTGCTCAACATCAACGCGGGGATCGCAAAGAACATCGTCGAGGCGTGCGCCAAGTTCTGCCCCGAGGCGGTCATCGCGCTCATCGTCAACCCCGTCAACTCGGTCGTGCCCGCCATGTGCGAGCTGTGGAAGAAGGCTGCGGGCCACCGGCAGGCGTGGAGACCGCCAGGGGCCCTCCACGAACCTTCTCGGAACCTTCCCCGCAGGCGGGGCACGACCCGTGCAAGATCGTCGGCGTGACGACGCTCGACTGCGTCCGCGCCGAGAAGTTTGTGCACGAGATCACCGGCGCGCCCGTCGGCGACATCTCCATCCCGGTGATAGACTCCTCACGCCCACCACACCAAAAAAGAATCCACACCTTGCCTCACCCGCCAAGGCAGGTGCACTCTGCTAGTACTTGTGTGCTCACACCACTACACTGTGGGGGGTGCCCGAGCATGATGTCTGTGCGCGTCTGTGCGTGTGTGGGACGGGCGCTGTTGTCCTCTGCGCGGGGCTTCCCGCGGGGGACCGAAGAGACCGCCGCCGCCGCGCAGTTGACCCACTCAACGCCGCGCTCTCTCTCAGCCTTTCACTCTCGTCCTCTCGCTCTCATGCTCTCGCTCTCTCTCTCCACACTCTCTGCCAGACATACACGCGGACTCACTCACGCGCGCTGCGCACGCCTCCTGCAGGTGATTGGCGGCCACGCCGGCACCACGATCCTGCCGCTCTTCTCGCAGGAGCAAGCTGGCAGCAAACGACAAGAACACATCGCACTCCCCCACATTACAAGGGGCACGCTGTCACGTCCTGTTCGGGGGGGGGGGCGGGGGGGGGGGGGGGCAAGGCCCATCAAACAGCCCAAAACGGAAGCTCGTCTGGGACCACAAACCTGCCGCTCCTCTCCCAGGGGTGAGGGCTGTGAACAGGGGACCCCTCCCGGAAGTGTCCCGGAAGTCCCCTGCCCCAAACGTGTCCAGGAAAGGTCCTGGCCCGGTTTGAAGGGTCCTGTCACGCTCCCCAGGAAAAGGGCGCCAGGACCATCCCCCCCGCGGAAGTGCCGGCCCTCAAAAAAAAGGGGAATTTCTCCCCCCCCCAATCTATGTGTAACGCTCTCTCTCCCTCTCTCTCTCTCAAGAGGGAAAAAGAGGGGAAGGGATAAGTTATTAAAGGGGGCTATATAGGGAAACCAAAAAAATCTCGCGTCACTATGAGGTTCATCGAGGAAACCCCCCCTCCTCCTTCTAGACTGGGGAAAAAGGAGATTCCCCCCCCCTGGCCCCTTTTTCCCGAAAATTTTATTGGAAAATTTCTTAGAAAACCTTATGAAAAACCCCTTTGGAACCCCCCCCCTCCCAAGGGGTTACGCCGGCCCCCGGGTTGGGAAACCCCTTTTTTGGGGGCCCTTGGGGGCACGCCGACCCCCGGGGCCGGGCCTTTCCCGACCTTTCCGAGACCTTTCCCCGACCTTTCCGGGACTTTTCTTAGGCACGCCGCCCCCCGAGTGCGGGTACGGGGCGTCGAGGGTGACCAAGTTCCCCTATTTTGCCTCCAAGGTTTCCCCCCCCCCCCCCTTTTTTCCCCCCCCCCCCTGGAATCTGACCGAGCTGCCCTTTCTGCCTCAAAGGTCACCTTTGGCAAGAAGGGCGTCGAGACCGTCCACCCGCTCGGCGACCTGTCGCCGCACGAGAAGGCGAGATCGCCCGAGATCAGCCGAGCTCTGCCGAGGCCACCCGAGATCAGCCGAGGGGCAGCCGAGATCAGCCGAGATTGCCCCGCACGCGCGCCAAGAGCAGCCGAGTTCGACGCGCACTGGGGGGATGGACATGCACATGCACATGTCGCGGACATGTCGTGGACGAGCCCGCGCATCTACTCACCCCCCCCCCCCCCTTCCTTTGAGCAGGAGCGGCTCGCGGCGCTCACGCCCGCCCTCAAGGACGAGATCGACGCCGGCCTCGAGTACGCGTCGAGAAACGAGTTCGCCGCTTGAAGGGTGCCGCTGGAGGGGGCGCCCGTCAAGCTCGCGCGCCTTGCAGCGCTTGCCGCTTGGCTCGCCACTTTTGATGATTCGGTCCTCGACTCTCTATCCACCTTGCACAGTGAGTTTATGTGTGCCAGTTTGGTGTGTTCGCGCTTCGAGCATGTGCACACCCGGCTCTTCCGCGCGTCGACGTCTCGGCTCGTTCTGGCTTCTGCGTGTCGCTAAAGGATAACACTCTCGATGTGTGCACTGACCACTGTCCACGTGACGTGAGCGCTTCCCCACTCACCATCACAGAGCCGCGGAGAGGCGAGAGCCCCACACGCGTCACGCCCCAGTGCCAGAGATCGACAGAGAGCGCGCGTGCCGTGGCGGGTGGCGCGCCGGGGGCGCCACAGCTTGCAGCTCTCACGTTTAAGAGAGACTCATCCGGCTCCGCCGCCCCCGCATACCACACGTCTCCGCCGCCACCGACCACCCTCGGGCTCGGGTCGTCCACCCTCGGGCTCCACCCCGCCGTGATGCCGAACCCTCTCCTCGTTGAGCTCCGCGAGAAGAAGCATCCCCTCCTTGTCCAACTAGGAACTACGCAGGCACCTCACTGCCCCGGCGCCCACGCCTCGACCTTCTTGGGCAGCAGCTGGTTGGACAAGTCCTCTCCGTGTCCTAGGCAGCCGCGATCGCCCTTTCCCCACGCAGCGACAGCGCCGTCGGCGGTGAGGGCGAGGCTATGCGCGGCTGCAGCCGACACAGCGACGACGCGCCGACTCGCCAACGCCTCGACCTTCTTGGGCAGCAGCTGGTGCTGCTGGTCGCCATGGCCCACCTGGCCATAGGCTCCATCGCCCCAGCTCCAGATGGCGCCGTCGGCGGTGAGGGCGATGCTGTGCCCGCCTCCTGCCGACACAGCGACGACGCGCCGCTCCGCCAAGGCCTCGACCTTCTTGGGCAGCTGGTGCTGCTCGTCGCCGTGGCCCAACCGGCCCCACTCTCCATCGCCCCAGCTCCAGACAGCGCCGTCGGCGGTAAGGGCGAGGCTGTGGCGTGGTCCAGCCGACACAGCGACGACGCGCTGCCCAGCAAAGGCCTCGACCTTCTTCGGCAGCAGCTGGCTCCGCTGGTCGCCGTGGCCCAGCTGGCCAAAGAGTCCATAGCCCCAGGACCAGACGGCGCCGTCGGCGGTGATGGCGAGGCTGTGATCGCGTCCAGCCGACACAGCGAGGACGCGCTGGCCAGCAAAGGCCTCGATCTTCTTGGGCAGCAGCTGGTTCGACAGGTCCTCTCCGTGGCCTAGGCAAGCGCCTCCGCCCTTGCCCCAAGTAAAGACGGCGTTGGCGGTGATGGCCAGGCTGTGGTGCTGTCCAGCCGACACGGCGATGACGCGCTGGTCAGCAAAGGCCTCGATCTTCGTCGGCAGCAGCTGCTCCTCCTCGTCGCCGTGGCCCAGCGCGCCCAAGCCTCCCTGGCCCCAGCTCCAAACGGTGCCGCTGCCAGTGAGGGCGAGGCTGTGGGCATCTCCAGCCGACACGCTCACGGCGCGCTCACCCAGCGTCGACGGGAGGCGGGTCGGCGTGTTGAGCCGCGTCACGCCCTCGCCGTGACCGAGCAGCCCTGGAGTGAACATCGGCTCTGAGCCGCACGACGAGAGCCGCCCCTCGCCGTCGATGAAGACGCTGTGCTGAAAGCCTGCCGCCGCCCTCGCCGGCGGGTTGGACTCGCACAGCAGCGCAACGAAGCACAGCCAACGCACGGTGCAGCTCTCGTCCTCTGGCTGCGCCGGCAGCTCGAAGCCGCACTCTTGCGCCCACAAGCGGATGCCCTCCTCCGCAAGCGAGGCGTGGAAGAGGAGCGAGACGGCCGCGACGCGAGCGATGTCGGCGGGGTCGCAGCGAGACAGGGAGCGCACGAGGAGCTCCCTGGGGAGGTCGAGGAGGCGGGCGGGCGCCGGCGTGTCTGGCGAGGGAGTGGCGGTGGCGGCGGTGGCGAGGCGCGAGCGGCGCGACGGGGCAGACATCGCGAGAAAAAGAATTCAAATTGCGCACACCCAAGAAAGCAGTGGGCCGCCTGAGCGTCAGGACTAGAGAGATCTTGAGCTAGTTAATTCCCGACGAAGTGCGCACTCTCGCCCTCGCCGCCCTCTCACGATCGAGTGCGCGCAACGCCTCGCGCAGCCTGGTCCGCATGAGCTCCGAGAGGTCGCGGTTGCCATGGGTCTCCAGCTTGGTCATCGCCGGGAAGTGGCCCGCTTCGATGGCCTTGAGCAGCGCACGGCCACCGCGGTCGCTGATGACGTTGCTACCAATGTTGAGATCACGCATCTGCTGCAGCCCGCCGCTGGCCGCCACCGCGGCGAGCGCCCTGATGCCGCCGTCGCCGATGCGGTTGCCAACGAGGCTGAGCGTGCGCAATTTCTGGCAGTGGGGCAGCCACGCGCAAAGCTCGACCAGCTCAGCGTCGCCCCACTGTAAGCCGCCGAACTTAAGCATGCTCGCGCCGCCAATCACCTCGCGCGCCGTCGCCGTGTACAGGTTCGCCACCAGCTCCGCGTCTGCACCATTCGTGAAGCGCTTCGTCGCGAGCAGCGCGTGGAACTCGTCGGGCCGCAGCGGCGGGTAGCGCGGCGCCTGACCGGCTTCGGTGCGGCCGGCGTCACATCCGAGGGCGGCCACATCGACCAGCAGCGGCCACGCGTGCTGCGAGGTGCGCTTGCCGAGCATCGCGCAACGAGACTCAAACGTGGGCCACCCGCGAGCGCCATACGACAGCGAGTCAACGAGCGTGTCGGACGCGGGGTCGGTCGCGGGGTCGGTCATCATGAAGACGGTGGTGAGCTGATGGGCATACCATAGCTGCATGGACGCAAGCGCGCCTTGGAAGGATGCGCGCTCCTGGTCCGTCCGGTTGCCTTGCGCATCTTTTTGGTCGAGCGAGCACCAGTCGAAGAAGACGGCCACGGCCTTGGGAAGAAGAGCGTTGTGCCGCTGCGCACGGTGACGCTGCGCGTGCCGTACGGCGGCGGCGAACCGCACGAGCGCCTGCCCAAACGGGTCGGGATGCGCAGCAGAGCGCCAGCAGTACGAGACGGCTACGAGCGGCAGCGGCCCACCAGCAAAGGCCTTGTTGCCTCGTGGCAGCGCCTGCAGCTCATCCAGCGAATAGAACGCCGCAGGATGGTCCCGCTCGAGATCCTGCCGCCTCGGCAGCGCGAGCGCCGCACGCTCTGCGTCTGTCGTCGCCAGCGCGAGGCGGCGAGCGCGATCGTCCAGGAAGTCCCACCGGAGGAGGCGCACATTGGCGCGCGTGCCAATCGCAGCGGTGCACTGGGCGAATAGGCTCTCCGGCTCGACGTAAGTCGAGGCTGCTTCCGCCTCCGCGTTTTGCGCCTGCGCGGAGTTCGACATTTCTATGCCTACACACAGAGCGCCCGCCGCTATGGTGCTCTCGACCACGCGCGCTTTTTGCTGTTGCTCCCCGGCCCTGGGAGTTTTGTTTTAGGTATGGGAGTGAGGTTATTTTATTAATGACTGCACCAAGTGCTCCAACGCCGGACGGCTGCGTGGGTTGGCTTTTCTCCTTAGAAATCCCTGTGTGGCCGCGCAGAATTTTGGCGAGAGACTGCCGTCGAAGACGGAGGTTCTAACGGTTCGTCTAGATAGAGTAATCCGACGCGCGACGGCCCAACACACGCGCCTCGAGAGATCGAGCTTATATAGGTTATAGCTGACACACAAACAAGCGTCAAGCCTCATCCCCCCACACGCCCCCTCGCTCGCCCCCCCTCACAGCTCCGTCTTGTCTATGTCCTCGTCGCGGAGGTCGTCAAAGCTGTGCGCGTCGGCCGCCGCCTTTGCCGCCGCCTCCGCCTGCTCCATCATCCGCCGCTTCCGCTCCTCGGTCTTCTTCTGCGCGTCGCCCGCCATCATCACGTCGGCCCCCATCCCCATCCTGTCCATGTACTTTTGCAGCCCCTCGGCGCCCTCCTTGGCGGCGATCGCCTGCACGAGCTCCTGCGCCGCCTTGCCGCCGTCCTTGAGTGGGTCGCCCACACCGGGCGGCGGCCGCTTCTTCTTGACCTGCGAGTACTGGTAGCCGCGCGGGGACAGCTTTGGCGCACCCTCCACCGCCTTTGCGCATCGGAAGCCCATGTTGTCGCCGCTCGAGTCCTCGGTGTTGCCCATCCGCGTGGCGCACGTCACCATGTGGTTGTGCGACCCGTCGGGCGAGTCCACGTACGAGCCGCCGCGCAGCACGCGCTGCCCGGACGACTTTGCGTACCACGTCCCTGTCCACTCCCACACATTGCCAAGCATGTTGTACAGCCCGACCTTGGACGGCTGGTACGCCCTCGCAGGGGCTAGGCCCGCGTACCCGTCGAGAGCGGCGTCCGAGTGCGGGAATGCCCCCTGCCACAGGTTGAGGTGAGGTTCAGGTAAGCTTCTCCACACACAAAGTTGTGGGGCAAGGGCCAGGCTAGTCCCTCGCATCTCCACCCCCGGACACACGGGCAGAAGCCGGCACGACATGTTCAATGTGCAAGGCCCAATGCACGTGGGTGAGCAACTTGCGGCCACTACACGTTCCGAGATAGGGGGAGATCTGGGGAGATCTGGGGAGATCTGGGGAGATCTGGGGAGATCTGGGGAGATCTGGGGAGATCTGGGGAGATCTGGGGAGATCTGGGGAGATCTGGGGAGATCTGGGGAGATACCTGCCACAGGTTGAGCCTCCACTCGGAATCGTTGGAGGGCCGCTCGTCGCCTGAATGAAAGAAGACATTCGCCGGAAGTAATGAAGGATGCATTCACCGTGGTTGAGTCAGTCACAAGTACTCCGTTTGAGCCCCACGGGCAAAGGCGCTACTCCCGGCGACTCTCGGCGACTCTCGGCTAATCTCGCCCCAAGGGTAAGCCTTCTGCGAGGAGGTGAGGCTCGCGTACGGACGACGCGCCGCCGACCTGCGCCATGGGCACACACGCGTCAGGGTGGGGAGGCGGTACCGCGCCGCGTATACGGAGGCAATCACGTGAACGCACGCGGGCGACGAATGCAGTGAGCACAATCCAGCGGGATGCGGCCGAATATGTGCACTGCCGCACAACTGCCTTGCCCGATCCCCTACCTGCCCAGGTGTGAATAACTGCCCGCTCCCGAGGTCTCGAAACTTGTGGACCGCGTATATGTGCGTGCCCTCAACTGCTCGTGGCAAGATGCGGATGCGTATCCAGCCTCCTAGGCCTCGAGATATGGAGCGACGGGGAGGTATGGGGAGGTGTGGGGAGATGTGGGGAGGTGTGGGGAGGTGTCCAGCATCTAGAGACCGCGAACTCCCACTCGGTCTCTGTCGGCAGCCGCTTGCCCGCCCACTTGCAGTACTCCTTGGCGTCGTTGAAAGAGATGTGGACCACCGGGTAGTCGAGGCGGTCGGCGATCCCCGAGCCTGGCCCCTGCGGGTACCGCCACCACGCGCCCGGCACGGCCAGCCAGTGCGGCGCCTCCTTGACGGTGGCGTTTGTCCGCGCCTTGGCTTCGTCGGTCGCCTGCATCTCGAGGACAAAGGACCAGCCGAACTTCTCGGCCTCGGTCTTGTAGCCCGTCGCCTTGCGGAAGCCGCGGAATGCCTCGTTCGTCACCGCCGTCGCGTCCAGCCAAAACTCCTGCACCTCCACTCCCTGCTGCTCGAGGTCGTCCCGCAGCTTCTGCGCGTCCGGCTCGGCTCCCATGACGAACTGCGCGCCGGTAATGTGCACCATGCCGGGCGGCGCCTCCTCGCGGGCGGCGGCGGCAGGAATGGCGACGGCGAGGAGGACGCGCAAGGCGCGCGACGAAGGGGGCGGCGTGAGCGCCGTCATGGCATGTACACCGATGACGAAGAAAAGAATTGCGCCGAGCTGGCGCGGACTGGCATCCTCCCCCATCCCTCCCTTGGGTTGTGTGTTTTCTTTCTTTCTTTCATCCTCCCCCATCCCTCGTCTGGCGCTGTCTGCTTTCTTTCTTTCTTTCTTTACTGGCACACACACCGGCACACGAAGAAAAGAATGGCCACCGCCGCTCGCACGACGCTAGGCACGGGACTGGCGCACTGGCACTAACACCGAAAAGAAAGGCGCCTAAGATATAAAAAGAAATTCATAATCGCTCGGCCGCGCACTGGCACGGACAATAACACGCGCGCCCACCTCTACGGTGCACGTGGGAAGTACGGAGAGAGTTTCACAACAAAAGGCGGTCGCACAGCACGATTCACGCGACAGGCAAGGCGCGGGCGACGGCTTCCTCAGAAGCCGTCGCCCCCACCACAGGAGCAGTCACACAACTCCCCGACTCCGGAGAGAGTGCCGTTGAGCGTTGTGTCATGTCGAAGTAGCCTCGTGACCAAGGCTCAGTCCGCGCGGAGCAGGAACTCTTTGTCCGGGGAGAGCGCCACGAGCGACTTCTCGAGCACGTGGCACTCAAAGGCGCGCGACGCGCCCAACGCGTGCTCCTTTTGGTGGCAGGCCCACAGCAGCGGGATGACGCGCCCGTCCGTGGTTGCGGTGCGGGTCGCCCAGACCGTCGCCGACGTGGGCGGACTGTGGCAGTAGCCGCGCCACGCAGCCGGACTTGGCTCGGACGGGCGCTGCCAGGCCGAGGCGTGGCAGGTGAGCAGCACCTGCTCGAGCGAGAGGCGTTGGATGATGAGGTCCTCCACGGCCTCCACGCCAACGTGGCTGAGCGCCTCGACGCCGTTGGGTGCGGCGCCCATGTAGACAAACTGGGTCGGGTTGTAGAGCAACTCGCCCGGAATGGTGTGCACAAACGTGCGGTGCGGCACGGGACTCGCGCCGAGGCGGCGACGCCGGCTCGGGTTGCACTCCTGGCTTGCTTCGCTTACCAGTGCAGTGAGGTTGCCCCTCATCTCTTGGGGGGACGAGAAGTTTTGGAGGTAACAGAGGATCTCGTTGTTCGTGTCCGCCGTCTCCTCGAGCTCCTCCGAGCCCGCCCGGCACGGTGGGTGAACCCGTCGGCGACGCTGTGGGGCTGGCGGTGGGTGAACCCGTCGGCGACGCTGTGGGGCTGGCGGTGGGTGAACCCGTCGGCGACGCTGTGGGGCTGGCTGAAGCCGTCGCCGTGGGGCTGACAGTAGGCGAAGCCGTCGGCGACGCTGTGGGGCTGGCGGTGGGCGAACCCGTCGGCAGCAGCGCTGTCTCGTCGGTGACCTCCATGACCTGCGGCGAGGGCGAGGCCGACGACGGCGAGCCGCGGAGGCCGAGCCCCAGCCCTAGCCCGAGGGCGAGGCTGACGCTGAGGAGGACTGCGGCGAGGAGGAGGCGTGGGGCCTTTGTCGCTCCCCGCTGTCCCGCCTCGATGTCCCTGTCGGTGGCCGCGGTGCGGGCCGGTCCGCTGCGTGTCACCGCTACGCGGACTTGGGGGGCACGCACCATCGCCGAAAAGCGGCGGGCGCGTTTTTATCGTCATCATCTGTCCAGCGTCCACGAGTTCATTTTACAAACCACCCATACCGCGTTGGTGTCCAGTCCAGGCCTGACTGTTCTTCACCTTCCTACATACATACATTTTGCCTTTGTGTGGAACTCGCCGCCTCGCGGTGGCAGCGGAGATCTCTCATGTTACGACACCTCACACGACACCGTTCTCCCGTTCCCGTGTGTTCATATGACCACGCTGGCCACCTTTTGCGTGAGACTCACCCGGTCATCATGCCTCGCCGCCACCGACTCTCGCTGTCCGTCCTCTCGCGGCCGCGATGGTACCGCACATGCTTAGGACCGAACCCGCTGCACTGGCCTTTCGCGCCATTATGGCCTCGGAAAAGCGCCCGTGTGTAAGGGTTGTGGGGGCTCATGCGCGCGCGCAGCTCCGCGTCCCGCACTGTGTCCGACGCGACTGACGCGACTGACCCTGCCGTCCAGCTCGCCGCGCTCCTCGCCGTCGGTTGCCACAGTGGCCCCGTGCTTGCAGGCCATCGCGTGCGTCTTCACGGGCTGCGCACTCGGCCGGATCTCAATTGCGCTGAAGCGACGGTCCTGTCTTGGATACAGTCGAAAGAGCGCTGGGCGGTCTCAATGCTGAGAGGGGAGCGCATCTGTGTCAAGGCGGCCAACATGCTGCTCAGCCCATGTGCGTTCACGCGGCTCGACGACGACTGTCTGCTCCGTGTCCTAGCCTGGGTGCCGCGCTCCGACGAGGCGGCGGTGCGCGCCGGGTGCCGCCGGTTCCGTGGCGTCTCCCGCGCGGCGCTCCAAGAGGAGCGACGCCTCTGCGGGAGCAGTATACTCACCCTCCTCGCCATCGGCGGCACGGTGACAGACTGGCCCGATTGCCAAAAGTACCCGCAGCGCACCCTCATGTCGCTCAGCTGCCACGCCCTCATCCGCGGCCAGTGGCGCGTCACTTCGAGGCTGCCCTTTGCGCGCTGTCACGCGCAAAGCGCGCTGCTGGACGGGCGGTGCTACCTCATCGGTGGCTATGACGATGAAGATGACAGCCGATCCGACGACGAGGCGTTCGGCCCGCCCATCCGTTGCTTAGAAGTGGGCAGCTCCCGCTGGTCGCACTTTCGCGTGCCTCCAGACCTCATCGATCCCGAGTCGCACTTCCGGCCCGCAGTGGCGGCGTGCTGCCACAAGCTGTACCTCTTCTTCCGGCACGACTGCTTGGTCTTCGAGCCCGCGATGGCGGTGTGGACGCGCCTCGAGCGCTCCCCTTCGGGGACAGGGCCAGATCTCCACCACAGCGACGAGGCTGCATGCGAGCTCGACGGCGCCATCTTTCTGGCGGGCGGCGGCGACGACAACAAGCAGCTGTGGAGGTTCCAGCCTGGCAATGGCGCGTGGGAGAGGAAGAAGGACATGCCGGGGAAAGGGCGCTCAGATGCGGTCGCTGTGTCGGTGGGCGGCCTGCTATACGTCATCGGCGGCCTTCGGTACGGAAGGAACGAAGACGCGATGCTGATCTACGATCCCAGTGACGATGAGTGGCGCCGCGCGCCGCCGATCCCCGTGCCACATTGTGGCTACCCGAACCCGCGGCAACTCGGCTACGGCCACCTCGCGGCCACCGCGCACGAGGGCAGTGTCGTGGTCATGGGCAGTGGGCCGCCCGTCACGTACGACCCGGCGACCGGGGCGTGGCACGAGTCGGAGCAGCTGCCGAGCATCACGCTCTCGATGGGCGAGTACCGCGTGGGCGAAGGGCACGACGAGATGCACCCCGTGGCGTGCGCGTGCGCTGAGGACATGGACGAGGACGAGCTCGAGGAGGAGGACGACGAGTACCTCGACGAGCTGGCCCGGCTGCCGATTGAGTCACCAGCCGTCTTCTCAGTCGAAGTCGACGCGACGGCTTGGCATCCCTCCGACGTGCCCGTCGTACCGAGCTCGGGTGTCCGTCAAGGAGCGCCTGGAGAGACGCATCTCGCTCGTGCACGCGACCGCGCAAGCAGCCCTACGAGAAGGGATGCAGAGGGGTGGTCGCAGTCCGTACCGGTGCGGTGACTCTCGCGAAGTCAGCCACACGGTGTCTTACTACTTACAGTACAGCTATAGTCATACTCTCGTGCGAACCCTGTGTCGAACCTGTGTGCTATAAATAAAACGGACACACCAAACAAGGGGTGGGAGAAGGACAGGCAGGGTCCCCACCTCGTGGTCGTAAGGCTGCGCGAGCAGGATCTTCCGGCTTGTATGGCTAGTTCTCCATTTCACTGTGGCACAGCTCGCGTTACAAAACCCCTTGAGAGCGATTCTAAGATCAGGTCTGCCACCTCCCCGCTGGAAACGAAAATCTAAGTTTCAAATCTCGAATAAATCTCGAAGCACACTTGAATGCTCACTTGGCAGGTAACATATGCGCCACGCGCCCCAACCGCTCCTCTGGTCGCCGCCGGCCTCCGCGGCGGCGGCGATGTCCCAGCGCCACCCATCGGCCAGCCCTCAGATCGATCGATCGGCGCTCAAAGTCGGCTTCAGATCCGAGAACGCTGCTGGCGCCGCCGCCGATCCCAGCGGCGACGCCAGCAGCTTCCTCTGCTCTCCAATGCGCCGAGAAGCGACGCGGGGGTGCTCGGCCCGCCATGGACGACGAAGGTTCCGCCGGGCGCGCGTCAGCCGGTCCGGTGGCACCCTCTGCGCGCGGCACCTGCCGGCGCCCCGACGACAGCCGTCGCGCCACCGCTGATGGAGGGGCGGTCGGCGCCGCTGCCGCCGCGCCGCCGGTGGGAGGGGCACTGGTGGTGGCCTGGGCGGCCCTCCGCCGCCGCTCGGGGCGCCCGGGCAGCGGTGGCAGCCTGCCGCCGCACCACTTCGAAATGCCCGCTGACCACTTCGAAATGCCCGCTCCGGCGGCCCGCGATCGGCGCTATTCTTTTTTCTACTAAGCAAAATTCAAGCCAATTGAGGAAACTCAAGCGGGCAGGCTGGAAGCACTGAGGGACGGCCGATTTTCGCCCAGTGGTAGACCTGATCTTAGAATCGCTCTTGATTTTGACCATTTGCGCACTATTGTACCTCTCGGTGCCTTCCAGAGGCAGCTTTGACCCCGCCGAGTAGACGGGCGCACACAGCAGGTGGCGCGGACTACGGTGTGCGCCCGTCCACTCGGCGGGGTCGCAGCTGCCTCTGCGCGTCCTGGGGAGGTACATTTGTTGCGCGCCGGAGACGACTCGACGTCGCTGAGATCGGAGATCAAGCTCGGACAGGTCGCACGTCGCTCCTTTGACGCCGACGTGACTCAACCGTGCAGATCACATCAGGACACGGTCTCGACGCGCTCGGTACGACGCCTGCGACCCGTCTCGGGTCAGGTGGCACGACGCTCATCGCGCCTACCAGCGCTGCCGTACAGGTTGCCACGACGAGGTCGAGCACGCTTCTATACGCTCGCCGAGCCTTCCTTTCCATCCCATTAGGCAGCCTGGGAACGGTGGCGGTCAGAGGCAAAGCCTACGAGGGGTGGTGGAACCACATGTCACGGCTACTGCCAGCTCGACCCCACGATAGCCTCCGAAGGCTGACTTTGAGGCACCATCATCGGACGATGTCGACGAGTTGGGTCGCTCTCGCGGTAGCCAGATGACCTCCCATGCTAGTAGTATCGGCTAGGGCCGCAGGAAGCGCGGGGGAGGGCGCTGGGAGCAACACGGAGCTCCGTTGGACGTTTTCAAGATTAGCGTGTCAGAGTGAAATGGAACTAGCCTATAGAACCTGTGTGCTGTGCGAGAGCACTTGAGAGAGGCGATTTTTCTTGGATTCTTTTCCGGGCTGATGAGGCAAACTTCTGATGCCATGCATGACCTAGTAGTGTCCCCAGCTATGGGCGTGTCCACGTTGGAGCCAGGTGTGGTGTGGGCACGAGAATACGAGCTCCGCCGTTCATGGAGGCAACCGATACGAGTCGACTGGTGTGTGTCGTCGTGGTTTCGTATCAAGAATACTCACTCACTCACTCACACGGATGTCGGGGTGGGGAGTGAGTGGGCGCCGGAGTGTGGGAGTGGTGTGACTGCTCCTGTGGTGCGGGCGACGGCTTCTGAGCAAGCTCGTGTCGCCCGCGCCTCGCCTGTCGCGTGAATCGTGCGACCGCCGTTTTTTTTTCACTTCTTTTCCGGTTTGTGAGCCGGTGTGTGTGCCAGTCCGCGCCAGTCCGCACCCTTGTCGTGCCAGTGTGCTGTGAGAGAGGCTTGTATTTTAAGAATTCTTTTCCGGCCGAAGCTGTGGATGAGGAGGTTGGCTGAGTGTCTTGTCTTGTGGTTCTGTGTGTCGCTCCTGTGTGACCGTCATCGCCCGTCCTGCGTCCACCCATACCGCGTTGGTGTCCCAGTCGTTGGTCGGACTGTGTTTCGCCATCCCAACAAAAAAAAGAGATTGATGCAGGAGCCCTCTCATGTTACGTCCTCCCATCCCTCCCTTGGGTTGTCTGTTTTCTTTCTTTCTTTTTCATGTTACGACACCTTACACGACACCGTACACGTACACAACTAAAGAGAGGCGATCTCACAAAACTCAAAAGAAAAGCCGAGCCTTTAGTCACTACCCAACCTCAATTTTATATAGCAGGGCCCGCCCCCAGTTCGGTCTAGCGTAGACTGAACAGGCGCTCGTGCAAGCCCTACCGCATCCGAAAGTCGCAACTGAGGCGGCGGGCCCCCGTGGCGTGACCCAGCGGAGCACTCCTTCGCCGCTCGTCATGATCGGTAATGTCCGAGTAGCTGTGCGGACGGCTTCATGTCGCTCTCGTCGAGAGCGTGTTTTGGCGGCCCGGCGGGTGGGAGAATCTGTGTCGTCTGATGTGTCACTGTGTACGTCACATCGGTCTTGATAACAAGCACGGTCGATCCGTCGAAGCGATACACTCGTTCCTATCTCGCTGGAGGGCTGGCACGGAGCTCTGTGCCGACAAACAGGAAGAGCCGAGCGGCAAGAAGGGCTCGATGGGGAGCGAGAAGCGTCAGAAGAGCTTCAGGTGTGACCTGAAGTCCGTCGTGACGCTCTTATTTCCCCCCAGGTTTGACCGCGCAGGTTTCAAAATTCGACGATATCTTCCGGAAAGACTGAACTTCCCGCAGCTCGGCAGCATGAGAGGCGCAGAGAGGCTGCGAGTGCTCGACGAGTCTTGCGAGCTGCGCGGTCAAACCTGGGGGGAACCGACCGCATCAGGGTGGATTTCCGAAACCTCCGTGAGCACCTTTGCCGGTTCTAACTCCCCATCAAGCCCTTCTTGCCGCTCGGCTCTTCCTGTTTGTCGGCACAGAGCTCCGTGCCAGCCCTCCAGCGAGATAGGAACGAGTGTATCGCTTCGACGGATCGAACACGATCGACCGTGCTTGTTATCAAGACCGATGTGACGTACACAGTGCCACATCAGACGACACAGATTCTCCCACCCGCCGGGCCGCCAAAACGCTCTCGACGAGAGCGACAAGAAGCCGTCCGCACAGCAAGCCGGTGGAGCCGAGCGCGCGGAATCGACGATGGCGTGCCGGCCATGCATGGGCCCGGACGAAGGTCCTGTGGCTCGAAAACGCGAGCAGAGGCTGCCGTGTGGGGCCACGGCGAGCCTCGGGCGAGAAAGACAGCTCTGGGTAGAGAGGAGCTGCTATATAAAAATCCGGCTTGGGTAGAAATCCCTGTGTTGAGTCAACATTTTTCTTTTCAGCGCTGATGAAGAAGGCCATTAGCGTGTATATGCACGCCGCGCCGCCCGCCTCGCGCTCTGCCACGTTTGCCGTTCGGAAAGTGCCGCTGCTGCGTCGCTACTGCAGCAAGGGCGGCGTCGCCAAGCCAAAGGACGACGCGCTCGCCGAGGCCCAGCGCGGCAAGGGCGGTGCAGACGTCAAGGTGCCCTTTGCGTAGCCTGAGCCGTTTGTGCCGACAGCGATGCCACCGATCCCCGCGGCGGCTTGTCTCGCGCCGCAGGTGTGGAGCGGCAACGTCGAGCTGCCGGCGGTGACCAAGAAGGAGGCGGAGGAGTCGTACCTCGACGCCACGTCGGGTGTGCGCCGCACGCCGCTTGATGATGCGGCGTCCGGAGCAGCAGCTGAGCCGCGCCTCTGGCCACGCCCGCACCGCTGATCGGCCGCCGCCCGTCACTTCCTTCCTCGCTCTGACCGCTCTCCTTTCTTCGCCGCGCCGCAGTCTCGCGCGCCATCACCCCGCCGACGGCCCTGGCGACCGAGGCGAGGAACGACATGACCAAGGACCGGGTCAACTACGTCTCCACCAACCTCCGCCCCGAGGCGCAGTACATCGTCCCCGGCAAGTCTGGCGCCGTCGCGCCAGTCGCCGTCAGCCAGGGCGCGTTGGGTATGGCGTCGCTCATTGTGCTCTGTGGCGGGCTGCTGGGAGCAGTCTACATAAAGAAGGAGTGGAAGGTCTCTTCGGCCAAGGAGCTTGGCGACGCCCTCCGCGCGCGCGGCGCCGCACGGAGAGAAGCCATCGAGGCCTCCTCTGCAACGTCGCTGGTCCGATCCATCTCACAGACCGCCGACACGACGGTCAAGGAGAACGTGGAGCTGTTGCGCCGGCCGTCGCAGCAGCTGGGCAGCCACTTTAACGAGTCCTTTCAGGGCAAGATTGTCAAGAAGAAGCCGGAGTGAGGGACCGGCACGGCCGGGCAGAGTGTGGCTTGCGGCAAAGAGATCGATCTCCAGCGGGATCTCGAACTCTCTCTCGATACGTCTTTTGTGTCTCGGTGTGTCTGCGGTGTGCCGGTGCGCGGTGGGTCGCGTGGTCAGTCTTGGTAAAACGGTAAATTCCCGCACGCGCACCGCATTGGCGGTGCATATACCACCCCGACCTGAAAGACCTTTTTAGAAATTAGAAATGAGGAGGTTTGGGGGCCTAAATTGCCATTTAAGAGATTGCAGGCACGGGGGGGGTCACTCTTTTAAAGCCGTAAGACCGTTTAAGGTACGGGGTGTGGAGGGTGAGTTGACCAAGGGGTTGTGCGCCGGGCCCTCCTGCTCGGCTCCAGCCGGTAGACAAGTCTTGTCATCAACAGAGTAGATGGATCTGACCTCGGGGCCGATGTGACCAAGCGCTGGTAGCGTGGTTTTACCTCACACCCATGGTCTCACAGTGTGCCGGCAGTCGCTGAGCAGTGTCGCTCACACAAGCCGCAGCACAAGTGACTGAGGGCCAGTGAGGGCGAGCCCATCGCTGTCACAGCTGTGGCAGCCGCACAGTAGGCTGTGTCAACTGTGCAGAGTGTGTGAGCAGCAGAGGAGCTGCTCTCCAGGCTTCTGTCGCAAAGAGCTGCATGCCACCGAAGGCGCTGTCGAGGTTCGCCGAGCGCGGCGCAGGTTGAGGGAAGCCGCCACCGACGAGCGCGTTGGACTTTTCACTCCGGACAAAAAACGCGGCACAGCGGACGGTGCGGGGCGTGCCGCAAACTTAGCGGCGAGGCGCGGGACCGTCTGTGGCGAGGTGGGTCGCGTCCCTCGATTTCCGTCAACACCCAGCATCCACACCCTTTACCTGTAAAGAAAATACGGGGTGTGGAGGGTGAGTTGACCAAGGGGTTGTGCGCCGGGCCCTCCTGCTCGGCTCCAGCCGGCAGACAAGTCTTGTCATCAACAGAGTAGATGGACCTGACCTCGGGGCCGATGTGACCAAGCGCTGGTGGCGTGGTTTAACCTCACACCCATGGTCTCACAGTGTGCCGGCAGTCGCCGAGCAGTGTCGCTCACACAAGCCGCAGCACAAGTGACTGAGGGCCAGTGAGGGCGAGCCCATCGCTGTCACAGCTGTGGCAGCCGCACAGTAGGCTGTGTCAACTGTGCAGAGTGTGTGAGCAGCAGAGGAGCTGCTCTCCAGGCTTCAGGCGCAAAGAGCTGCATGCCACCGAAAGCGCTGTCGAGGTTCGCCGAGCGCGGCGCAGGTTGAGGGACACCGTCACCGACGAGCGCGTTGGAGTATTCACTCCGGACAAAGACGGCCACACGCACACGAGCTGCGGCCGTGTGGCCGTCATAGCGGCGAGGCGCGGGACCGTCTGTGGCGAAGTGGGTCGCGTCCCTCGATCCGTCAACCCAGCATCCACACCCTTTATCGGCCTCGCCGGCACATGGACAGGCGTGAGGGTGACCATGCTGCGCTACGTCGACCTCGGCTGGGGCGACGCGGAGGCGGCGCAGCTGGCGGAGGTCCTCGCGAGCGGGGCAGCGCCGCGGCTCGTGAAGCTCGTTCTCAGCAGCAACCAGATTGGCGACGAGGGCTGCAAGGCGCTGGCCGCCGCCCTCGGCAAGGAGGGGGCCGCCCCAAGCCTGAAGGCGCGAGACGCCCCTCGCCACACGCCCCTCCCCCGCCCAATGCCCATCGCGCCTCCCCTCGCGTGCAGACGCTCGGCGTGGACAACGAGAAGCAGCCCGAGCTGGTGGCCGTGTGCAAGGAGCGCGGCATCAGCCTCTACTGAGAGCCTCTCCAGCCCCGGCCGGGCGGCGAGGGCGCGGGGTCCGGCGGGACCGACGCGCGGGTCTTGCGCAGAGAGCAACAGACCCTGCGGCTGCGGAGCACGACATACAGCGACGGTGGGGGCCTGGTGGGGGCGAGATCTACTTGGTACCTGCTGCTGCCAGAGTGTAAGGTGTTTAGCCTTTAGATTCGTCTGCCAGCTCTCAGAGCCCCAAATGATGTGTGAGTGTTTGAGTTGTTTGCTGTTTGTCGACTCGTTTGTTGAAGACTCGGGGTTCGACCCTGACAGCTTCCCTGAGAACCCCGATAGCGATACAGCTCGCTTGGATGTCCCCGTCGGTCGCGCGGTGTGCCCACTGTAGCTGGACAGGCTTTATGGACGTATTCGCATTAGACATCACACGCGGTGCGGCGGCCCGCCAGCGGGCGCTTCCGGTGTGTGCGCCACACGGGGGACGCACGCAAGAGGAACGACGTCGACGACGACCGCGAGTCCACCGGGAGAGTGGAGGAGGCCACTCCGCCGTCCTACTGTGTCCGCCCGCTATAGCGCGTTCGGGCGGAGCCTATGAGATTGCGCGTGCGGGCCGACTCCCGCCGTCGACTGCTCCGGCGCCGTGTCACGCGCCCTGCCACGCCTCGATGCGGGCCACGAGCGCCTCCGCCTCGCCCGCCGACGCCTGCAGCTTTGCACAGCACGCGTGCTGCGCCTCGCACGCTGCGGCCAGCGCCTAGGTTGCCAATCGGTGGGCTCATGAGCGGACAACCTTTTCTCGGACATGTGCATGACATGTCTCGGACATGTCTCGGACATGTCACGAGCACTCATGATCTCGGTGCTCTCTCGGCTTCCTCTCGGCAGGCGCCAGGATCAGCTGGCGTCGCTGCTCGAGCTCAGTAGCCAGCCGCTTCCGCTGCCTAAGGGCGGGAGCCAAGCTCTCAAGCAGCGGCGGCGGCGAGGGCGGTGGCGCCGACGGAGGCGGCGGGATGGGAGGCGGAGGAGGCGGAGGCGAGGGGGGGGGGGGGGGGAGGGGGGGAGGCCAGGCAGGCGGAGGCGAGGGAGGCGGAGGTGACGGAGGCGGAGGCGAGGGGAGAGGGGGGGCGACGGAGGCAGGCGGAGGCTAGGGTGGACGGTGCATCGCGCAGCTATGCCCCTCTGCCCCGCAAGCAGAGACGTGGCGGCGGCGACCTCGGCCGGCGCCGCCTAAGGAAAGAAAGAAAGACGGGCGTGTCAAGCTAGGGGCGGTGGGAGGAGGACAGGACGCCCCCACCTTTGCAGGAGTTTGCAGGGGGAGGGGCGCCGCTCAAGGGGGAGGGGGCTGGCTGCACGCGACACAGGGGGTACTCTCTCGCACATCTCCCCACATCTCCCCACATCTCCCCACATCTCCCCACATCTCCCCACCTCTCCCCACCTCTCCCCACCTCTCCCCACCTCTCCCCGCATCTCCCCACATCTCCCCACATCTCCCCACATCTCCCCACATCTCCCCACATCTCCCCACATCTCCCCACATCTCGCCACATCTCCCCACATCTCCCCACATCTCCCCACATCTCCCCACATCTCCCCAGCTAGGCGCCGCCTCGCCGCGCTCGATGGCCACCACGTCGACCTTGTCGCGCTCCTACGAGGTGGAGATACGGGGAGATGCGGGAGATGCGGGGAGATGTGGGGAGATGCGGGGAGATGCGGGGAGATGCGGGGAGATGTGGGGAGATATGGGGAGGTGCGGGGAGAGATGGGGAGAGATGGGGGAGAGATGGGGAGAGGTGGGGAGAGATTCCGCATCTAGGGCACGAGATACGGGGAGATATGGGGAGATGCGGGGGAGATGATGGGAGAGATCCCGCATCTAGTGCCCCGCGCCGCAGCCACGACGTCGAGGGACGAGTCGTCGGTTAGGCGCTCCAGCGCCTGGAGGCGTGGGGAGAGGGCTTGGCCTTTATGTACGGCCTAGAGAAGTGTCTCCGAGACCTCGCGAGCGGGCAGGTAGTCACACCCCGCCAGTGGTACATACACGCCTGGCCTTTCGGTGCGCCCAGAAGCGGTGCGAGAGGTGAGGGCGAGGGTGAGAGAGCAGCGAGGAGAGAGGCGGCAGGGGTGAGAGAGAGGGGGCAGGGGGGGGAGAGAGGCGGCAGGGGGGGGAGAGAGGCGGCAGGGAGGAGGGCGGAGAGCAGGGTGTCGCGTCGTGGACGGGTCGTGGACGGGTCGTGGACGTGTCGTGGACGTGTCGTGGACGTGTCGTGGACGTGTCGCGGACGTGTCGTGGACGTGTCGTGGACGTGTCGTGGACGAGTGTCCCCAAACCGCCTCCTCCCGCGCCTGCAGCAGCGGTACCGTCGACCCTCCCCCGCCGCCTCCTCCGCCTCCTCCGCCTGCTCCCGCGTCGTCTGCCGGCCGCGGCCGTTTCTGCTGGCCGCCCGCCTGCAGGCCGGCCGCCTAGTACACAGCCTTGTTCTGAGAAGAAGAGACGTCCCATGGCGCTGTGCGCTGGTCTGTGAGAGGTTGAGGTGCGAGCCCTGGAGGCCCCTGGGGATGGGGTGAGACTACCCGCGGGCCTAGGAGGCGTACACAGGGGAGGAGCACGGCGGCGACGCAGACCGTTCTGTTGGGAGGCGAGCGCCTCGACTGCGCCCCGCAGTCGGGCGCGCCACTCGCGCCCCTCGCGGCTATGCCGGTAGGAGCCGTACCACGGCTCAGCGTGTCTTCGCTGCGCATGTGCGCGTGCTCTCGGGCGGCAGTGTCAGCTGGCGGAGTGTCTCGTGCTGTGTGGTCTGTGTGCCGCTTGACCGCTCTCTCCGTCTTGATCGCTTGCGTCGCTTGCGTCCGCCCGCAGTCTCTGCGCGCCCGGTCGCCCTCAAGGCTGCGTCTAGTAGTAGCAGTGAGCAGCGTCGACTCCGGCACCGTGTCTCCCCCTCTCTACCTACCTAGGAGCTGACTGCATCTAGGCGGGAGCTGCCTGCTGGCTGTCGGGCGGCACGGCCGGCGCGGAAGCGGGCGGAGGGCCTTCGCCGCCGAGGGCAGCCCGCACCTCCGCCACCTAGACTTCTCCCGCGCACGCTGTGACGAGGCGTGGTTTCTGAAGAGACAGACCCGGTGGGGGCGGGCGCAAGTGCCGGCCGCCTGCGGCGCGGGCATCACGGCGCGCTCCTCCCAGATCGAGAGCAGCCGCTCCAGCTTTGCTCGCACCTGGGGGCGCCGAGGGGAGGCTGGTTGCTGTTGGGCCGAACGGCGCGAGGTGCTGACCGATGTATGTCTCGAGAGGGACGCTGGCGGCTGCGGTCCGGGAGCTGCAGATCCCGACCGCGCTCGGACGAGGGCACGGGCACGAGCGCGCTCGACCCGCGCCTCTCCGGCCTTTGTGGCCGTGTGTGTGTCGTTGTGCCGGCGGCAAGTGTAGGGTTTCTCATCGTACAAGCCGCCGACCGTTGGCGTTGCGGCGGCGTGGGCGGCGGGCAGGACGGTCGCCATCTGCGAGGCGAAGGCGTCGGCGCAGGGCGTCCCCTTGCGGCGCGAGTTCTGCATCACGTCGTTCGCCAGGTACACCAGCAGCAGCTGCCGGTGCGGGTCGGCCGCCCGCTGGGCCTCATCCGCCCAGACGTTCGCCGCGTGGGCCGCGTTGGCCTTGTGGAACGCGACCCAGTGCGACAGCGTCTGGATGCTCTGCTGTGACTCGGACAGCTTGGAGAGCTTCTCGCGAAAGTCCTTCTCTTTGGACCAGGGCATAGTGGATGAGCCCGAGACCGGGCGCGAGAGCGGTGGCAGTGTCGTGAAAAGAATTCTTAACTCGCGCCTCTCTCACAGCGAAAAGAATTCCTTTCCCGCGTAAGGTTTCTCAGCTCTCCGCTCACTCACCCGCGGGCGTACTTACAGCGCGCTCCCTGTACACAGCGCGCTCCCTGTACACAGCGCGCTCCCTGTACACAGCGCGCTGCGCTGTCGTGCACAATGCTCTCACTGTGCCAAGCTCGACCAAGCGGCGAGCGAGCAGGCGTGGGGCGCTGCCCCTCACTCATGCCCGCGCGGCCACCTCCGCCCGGACCTTCTCGAGCTCCACGTCGCGCGCCGCCACCGTCCCCTTGAGCTCCGCCACCTGGTCGAGCGCGTCGCCGAGCAGCCCCTTGGCCACGCCAAAGTCGCGCAGCTGCTCCACGCCGCCGCTCGCCCGCACCTCGGCGGCGTGGTCGGCCACGTAGCGGCGGCACTGCGCGAGGAGGCGCCCGTCGCCCGTCGTGTGCGCCGCCTCGAGCAGCGGCACGGCAGTCGCCGGCCCGACGCTCTCCTGCAGCGCCTGCGCGCAGAGCAGCTCGAGGCGCGGCACCTGGTACATCTGCGCCAGCTCCCGCAGGTCGAGCGCGCGCTGCGCCCTGCCCTCCTCCTCGCCGAGGTTGAACTGGTCGGTGAGGAGGTAGCGGACGAGGGCAGTGAAGCTGGCGAGGTCGGTGTGGGACACCGTGACCTCGGCGGCGTCGCGCTCCTTCATGCCGATGCCAAACATGGTCCGAAAGACCGGGGACCGGGCGCAGAGGTTGTTCTTGCTCACGTGCTCGATGCGCTCCTCGTCGTCGCCGACCAGGAAGGTAACCATGCCCTGCGGGAGGGTGGCGTCGCCCCACGTCTTCGCCATGTCGGCGGAGAAGGTGGAGGGCGGAACGACGATCGGGGCAAAGGAGGGAGGCGGAGGAGGCGCCGCCACGCAGACATGGCGGAGGTCGCCATCCGCGACCAACAGCGTGCTGCCGTCGGGGCTGATGGCGACTTCGACTGGGCTGGCGAACCCCGCCGCGTCGCCCACGCCGTCAGCGCTGCCAGCAGTGCCACTGCCCGCGACAGTCGTCACCTCTCCCGTCGCCACCTCAACCCGCCGGATCTTGTCGTTGCCGCTGTCCGCCACAAACAGCGCGCCGCCGTCGGGGCTGATGGCGACTCCGTAGGGGCTGGCAAACTGCGCCGCGTCGCCCACGCCATCCGCGTCGCCCTCGTCGCCGCGTCCAGCGAACGTTGTCACTGCGCCCGTCGCCACCTCAACCCGCCGGATTTTGTGGTTGCTGCAGTCCCCCACAAACAGTCCGCTGCTATCTGGGCTGATGGCGACTCCGTAGGGGTAGCTGAACTGCGCCGCTTCGCCCACGCCATCCGTGTCGCCCGCGTCGCCGCTGCCAGCGATCGTTGTCACCGCGCCAGTCGCCACCTCCACCCGCCGGATCTTGTGGTTGTCGACGTCCGCCACAAAAAGGGCGCTGCCGTCTGGGCTGACGGCGATGCCGGCTGGGTAGCAGAGCTGCGCCGCCTCGCCCACGCCATCCGCGTCGCCATTCTCGCCACTGCCCGCGAGCGTGGTCACAGCGCCAGTCGCCACCTCCACCCGCCGAATCTGGTTGCCGCTGGAGTCCGCCACAAACACCGCGCTCCCGTCTGGGCTGGCAGCAACGGTGTAGAAGGCTTCACTTGCCGGCAAGGCTGCCACGCGGCAAGTAGAAGGCTTCACTTGCAGCAGCGAGTCCTTGGTAGCGACGTACCAGGCGCCCGCGTGGTCGCTCGCGACGCCAACCGGACCGAGCGATAGAGGGCCGTCCTCGCCCTCGAGCGTGGGCGTGGTGACCTGGCCGACGACGCGCGCGCCAAAGATGGGCGCCTCGAAGCCATCCGCGACCGGCACGGGCTCCTCGTCTTCCTCCTCGCCGCCGCCGCCGGTGCGGGCGCGCTTGCGGGCGGCGGACGCCATTGCTGCTGGATTCGGGACACGGGCTTGTGGGGTGTGTGAATCGTCGGTCTTTGTCGTACCCATACCGCGTTGGTGTCCAGTCCGAGCCTGACTGTTGTTCATCTTTCTACATACACTAGTGTGGGACCTGCGGCGGTACCCGCCTCTGTTGTTCGGGCAGTGAGAGACGCAGGATCTGCACGCGAAGTGTGGGCTCCACTCCGCATTTGCGATTTGGTTTTGGGTGTCGGAGATCCTTCATCCATCGCAAGCATTGCTAAAAATCTCTCTCTCGCAAGCACTCATCAGTCAGTCACGTCAGTCAAACCCGCGCCGAGCCGGTCTCGGCGGGAGACCTCGGAGCCGCACGCGATGCGGGCATGCGCGATGGCTCCGTTGGCTCCGTGCCTAAGGCAGATAGATTAGGGTGTGAGCTGCGGCAGCCAGTCGGAGGCCGCGATGGATGGCCCAGGGCCGGCGGCGGTGAAGGCGTCCGTCGATGAAGGGATGTCGTCGAGGGAGCCATCGTCCTCCGCGGCTGGTGCACCAGTCCAGTTGTCGGAGTTCGAGATCGCAGTCGCCCGTTGAAGAACTCACGGAATGTGAGCGACTTGGTGCACGCTGGGTCGAGCATCATGACTCGCACCTCATCCTGGGCGAGTTCCTCGCCCAGGGACCAGCTGTTGGCGTCGCCGTTTTGATCGAGCTGCATCCACTGCCCGGCATGGTTTCGTAGTCAAGCGTAAACGCCCAGGAGTTGGTGCCTGGGTGACTTGCTGATGAGAGCGCCTTCCAGGCGGGTAGTCGTGCCCCTCACCTACGGTATACGGCGGCGTCAGAGGGGGGGAAGGGGCGCGAAGCGTGAACATGGAGGCAAGCAGGTGGTGGGCACCTGGCCAAAGCCGGCGACCTCAAAGTTGTCGTTGCTTGTGCGGAGCGTGAAGGGGACCGGATCGGCAGCAGCGCGGGCGGCAGCGGCCGGAGAGGCCGGAGAGCCGTCCGACGGAGGCCGGTCGTGCATCGGCGCGTCGGCCGTAGGGGCCGTGGGGGGCGGCATCCATCGCTGCGGGTCGCTGCGGGGTGCGGGCCGACGATTGTGGACTGATCGATCGTCGGCGGGCGGTGTTCTGGCGGGACGTTCTACGGTTAAAAGAGCGTCGGCGCGGACACGAGAGACTTATAAGGGGAGAGTGGGACGGCCGCGAGGTGGCATGAAGGTTGCAGCGAGAAGCGGCGAGAGACTGCGAAAAGAGATACGAAGAGGCAGACTCCCCATCGACCATCTCGGATCCGACTTCGGTCTCGACCACCCCGAACGTCGTGGCGTACCCGATGAGCGCGATGAGTGTGATGAAGTACTGGTAGAGCATTGTCAGTCAAGGATCACCGCGGCTGTTTTGGATCTGCGAGCGCGCAGGCGACGGCGGGCGAGCGTCAGAATCGTAAAATAGGATGCGCATGGTGCGGGCTTGCTTCGGGCGGCGCGGGAGCGCAGTAAGCGAATAAGTCGGTCCGGCCGCGGGCTCCACAGAACAATATCGGGAATGGGTAGCATCGGGCGCATCTTTCGGCTCCCCGATGGAACCGGCTGTACCTGCGAGCGGGAGGCGCAGGCGGTGTGTGAGGCCGAGGGGTACAGCGGCGGACGTCGAGCGAAAGCGCATCGCATGGTGGGAGTGGTGCGGATGCTGCGGGTTCCGTGAGCAGCAGGCGTAGCGGGGGTCGTGGCGTGCAGTTCGCGGCGGCATGGGCGGCGCAATGCGGCGGGCCCAGCGTGAGCGGAGGGGACAGTGCATGGCTCGCCTTGAACGGGGATCAGGCAAAGGCCGTCAGGGGGGACAGCAAGAGGCCGAGGGCCGAGGGCTCTGAACAAAAGTCCTCGGTGAATTTCGGCGCCCGGCGGGTTTCCGTTTAACCTGGTTTGTGGACCTCCCGCACCTTACCCTTACAGGCCACCATAAGGGACCCCGTTGTCCGTTTGACATCAGACTTTTTTTGAGTTGGAGGTAATAATTAAAAGGATTGCACTGTCCCAAAGAACTGATTCATTCATTTCACCCTCACATAGTTACAATACCTCAAAGTTGAAAACCTCCAAAATAGGCCGTCAGGACTCTGTCAGGACTCCGTCAGGACTCTGTCAGGACTCTGTCAGGACTCTGTCAGGACTCCGCCAGGACTCCGCCAGGACAACCACTGCCCCCCCGCTGTGAACAGAGCCCTTAGCTAGAGAGTAGGGAGGGGTGTACAGTCGAGTTACTCCCGAGGGCAGGGACGGCCCTCCACTGAGGGAAAGGCCGCAACGGGGACGGTATGCTCACAACCCAGCCACGCAGCTCTTTGCTCGCGTACAGCCAACGAGTTTGCTGGTCCACAGGCAGTCCAGGCCGTGAGCGTGGGCCGGTCGGGCCTGATCCTGCGGTGAGCACTGGAGGGCTATGCGGCTCGCTCCGTCAGCCGACTTGCGCCGTCGAGCGGTCGAGCGCTTCGGGTTGGACCCGCGGGAGGGTCCCTGCGCGGCTGACATGGCCAGCCAAGCCGTGTGCGCTGCCGTGGGTGCTGCCGTGGGTGCTGCTGTGGGCGCTGCCGTGGGCGCTGCCGTGGGCGCTGCCGTGGGCGCTGCCGTGGGCGCTGCCTCGGTCAGCAGTCAGTCAGCCGTCCGCGCTGCTCGGCGCTGGCTTGCTGGCCGCCGGTGGCAAACCAGGGGCGCGCGGGCCATGGACGTCGTGGCCGAGCTTTGCTGCCTTCTTGCACGTTGCCGGCTGTAACGTTGCCTGCACCATGGCCGCGCCTCTCTTGCTTGTGCGCTTTTCATGGTCGAGCCGAGTGGCGCGAGAGTAAGCGTGATTTCTTTGTCTGTCAGGACTCTAAGTTTCTGTCAGGACTCTCAAGTTTCTGTCAGGACTCTCAAGTTTGCTTGTCAGGACTCTCAAGTTTGCGTCAGGACTGCCCCATCAGGACGATTCCGCAGAGGGCGCGCACGGTCGAAAGGGGGGCTGGGCGTCTATCATTCACTGCTGGGGGGGAGGGGAAGGAGGGTTGCAGTGAAGGAAGGTGGAGGTCTCGTCGGAGGCACTTGTGAGCACTGTGAAGACCGTGCGCCGTCAGGACCCCGCCAGGACTCTGTCAGGACTCTGTCAGGACTCTGTCAGGACTCTGTCAGGACTCTGTCAGGACTGTCAGGACAGGTGCGGGAGGTCCACAAACCAGGTTGTTTAAAATAACGCAGGGGCCTCAGCGGAGCTGGGAATAGGACCGCCGCAAGCGGCGTGGCGTGGAGCGGTTGAGCATCCCTCCGGGGGCCCCTCTGCGCCGGGGAGGCGTTGTTGGAGGCTAGGACGCAAGCGTCCGTCGCCCTTTTCAAACTCGGGGCCCACTCCGCTACGCTCCGACCGACCCGAATTTGGAGGGCCTAAAAGTTTAAGGTGTTGCTGCGGTCGGACACAGCCTCGTGAAAAAGAGCGTTCCTCGGCACTACTCTCTCGAGGTCTCGCACTCCACGTCCCCCCTCAACGCCGCCACACCACACACACACCACTCGAACCCGCAAGCCGGCGTACGAAGCGCGGCTCGCACTCGTGACACGACAGGCGCGTGGGTGGGGGCTAGGCGGCCGAAAAGGAAGGCGGCGAGGTCACACAGAGCGGCGAGTTGGTGAAGCACAGTCAGAGACCGGGCTTCTAGCCTGTCCCACACGGCGTAGGAGCCGAACCCACCGTGCTCGGGCCATTTGGTGGCTTCCATGTGCCTCCTCCACCTCTTGCTCTCGCTCTCACTCGCCGCTGCCGCCGCCAGCGAGGAGGCGGCCGCCGCCGGCGAACAGAAGGCCGCGAGCAAGCGCCCATCTTCGCTCGCGCTAGTGGTCGGCTACCGCGATATCTATTCGCAGCTCCTCTCGCCGGAGGGCGGAGCCGGGGAGCGGTCCCGCGCGCTGCGCTCGACGGTGTACGCACGACCCGGAGGCGTGGGGATGGGGGGGGGGGCGCGCCGCCGCCGCCGTGCCGCCTTCTCCCGCTTTGACCTCCCTCAGCTGCTTCTCCTCAACTCAACCTGTGAGCTTGCGAGGGCGGCGAGGGTGGGAGTGCTCTCAAACAACATATACGAGCGTGCGCGGTGCGAGATCTCCTTCGCGAGGGCACGGTGGGTCGGGTGAGTATCTCGCGCGCTCGCACTATTTCACGTTATATGAGGCACTGCCCCTGAATGCCTTTGCAAGAACCGCCAGCGGCGGTGGTTGAACCGTTCGCGGTTCGAGCGGGGACCTTTTGGCTCCCGGATCGAAGCTCGGGTGGAGGGTTGCTTCGCGGTAGCGAACGCGAGCGGCGTGAGCGCGTGCGTGTGCGCGTGCGCGGCTGCAAGGCGAGGCGCAGGCGCTGGCGCTGGCGCAGGGGCAAGGCGAGGCGGGCGGCGGCGGCGCGCGATCTTTTGCTTTTGCCCGGGTGAGGCGTGGCTTGCGCGCCGCGCGGTGATGACGCCGCACGCGGAGAAGCTCTTGGTGACCCACCGCGGTGGCAGCGAGCCAAAGCAAGCCACCTGCCGCATGGCGGGTTCAACTCGTTAAAGAATTACCAGGTGTACCCCGAGAAGACGTTTACGTTACGTTACCTTACCTTAGTCGCGCTCTAAACTTCGTCGTCCGCACTCCCTCCTCCATGGCATGGACGCCGTGGGCTGCTGCTGCCGCGGATCCCGGCTCGGCGCGGCCACGCGATACTACCCTGGTGGCCGAGTGCCGCGCCGCGAGCGCAAGGTGCAGCAGGGATCCACCCGGCGCTGTGTCCTCGGCCTCCTGCTCGCCGTCGGAGGCGCGCGAGCTGCGGCGCACGCTAGAACGGCTTGCCGAGGTGGAACCCCGCACCGAGCCCTGCTCCCTCGACGCCCGCATCGAGGAGGCCAGCATCGACGCCGTCTTTGCGGCAGCGGCACTGAGTCGGCCCGCGGCGGCGAGCCGCACTCCCTTCCGCTTACTCGCGCCGAGAGCCTTTGCGGCGAGCGCGATGCTAATCTCGCGGTGCGGTGCGGCGTGGAGTGCGACGGCGAGGCTCGTGTAGAGCCCGCCCTCCACCAGGTCCTCGGGGGTGGTTGTGAGGAAGTGGGAGAAGGCGCACCCGCCCTGGGCCGGGTCATTCTCGTGGATGGCGAGGACGTGCATGCACGCCGCGCGGGCGCTTCGCAGGTCGGCCGCGAGCCCGTGCGCCTCGTCGCCGACGAATGTGCCGCTCCGAAGGTAGAGCATGAAGACCTCCCGCCGCGGTGTCGCACTCGTGAGGCTGGAAGCCGCGCCTGACTCAGAGCCGCTCTCGGAGAGCGGCGCCTCCGAACAGGGGGCCACCGAGAGCGAGTGGCGGAAGCGCGATGCGAGCTCCTCGATGACCGAGCCCGCGCCCGCGTTGTGCAAGCTGAACCGCAGGCAGACGGGCTGGTCGAAGCTGAGCATGTCAACCGACATCTCGCCGGGAAAGTAGAGCGGCAGCGCATTGTGTGTGGAGGCGTACTGCGGGGAGGCGAGCAGCAGCTGCTCCGCAATCAGCTTGAGGCTCATCTTTTGGAAGTCAGCGATGCGGTGCCAGTCGATGGCGTGCCGGCCGTCAAAGACCCCCTCCCGCAGCTCCTCGGGGCACTCGTGCCACGAGTCCTCGAGGGTGAGGCCGCCCTTCGCCTCATTGGCCTCGCGCACGAGCACGATCGGCTTGCGCCGCTGCACGGCGCACCGGATCTCGCGCAGGCAGTTGCGGCTGGTAAAGTAGCCCTTGGACAGGAACATGAGCACTAGCGCGCTCTGGCCGATCTCCGACTCGAGCGCGCCGATGTCCTCGAGATCATCGACGTCGAGGAAGATGCGCGAGCCAGGCAGGGTCACCTGCAGCGCGCGCTTGATGTTGGCCGCCTGGTCCTGCCCCGTCGCCCAAACGTGGCTCACGAACAGATGCCACTTGTTGGCCTGCGCGATGGTGAGCGGCGGCTCGAGCCCATTCTCCACGAGCCGCAGCGTGGGCAGCGCCGACGCGTACCGCCCGGCCGCCCAGACGAGGAGAAGCACGCCGGCGACGAGCATCACGGTGCCAAAGATCACAAACACCAGCGCAGGCAGGTAGCTCGTGCTCCCCATCCCAAAGGTCTCGCACGTGTCGGCCGAGAGGTTGCACACGTTGATGACCAGGGCAGCGATCAGGATCACGAGCAGGCAGACGTGCCCGAGCATCATCATGCGGTCGTCGAGCGGCCGCCTGAACGGCGAGAGGAGGAACTGCATCGTGATGAAGAGGATGGTGACGAGCAGCGCGATGAGCACGCGCAGCTGCGGCGAGCCCTGCGTGCCGATGAGCACAAAGCCGGTGATGGTCAGCCGCCGTAGCAGGTCGAGCGGCTCCCACCAAAAGCTGCGCTGCTCGTACTCTGACCAGAGGAAGCTGCTCGCGCGCGAGAGCGCGGTCGAGCGGTTGTCGCGAATGGCGCGCTTCGCGGCGAGGAGCAGGAGCACGTACAAGACGGGGACGCCCACCGGCCACACGGCGAGGAATGCGTACGCCCAGGTGCGCACCTCCGCGTACTCGGCGCTGCTGCAGTCGAGGGAGAGGTCGTCGGCGAGGTAGGCGCGCGCCTCGGCCGGCGCGTCCGCAGTGCGGAACTCGACGCAGTTGAACGACGAGAGGATCCGCTCCGAGGTGGAGGGCACCACGACAAAGGAGACGAAGAGCGTGAGGGGCAGCGACCGCAGCAGGCCCCGCCGCAGCACCTCCACTGCCGCGCCGCCTGGCGAGGACTGCTCCCGTGGAGCCTGTTGCCGGGAGGCCCGGGACCCTCGACGCTGAGCCGCCCTGAAGGACAGCTGCCGCGCCTGGCGCCGCACCCGCTGGCCAAGCGACTCGCTCGGCCCGAGGGCCTCGGCGTCGGAGCTGGCGACGCTGAGGCTGGGGCTGCGCCCGGAGACGCCGCTCCGCTGCGGCGGCAGCTGCGAGGAGAAGCGCTGCCGCACGGCGCTTGGCATCGTTGTGTGCCCCGTCGCCACCCGCAGCGGGGAAGCAAGTGGCAGCGGCGCTGGAGGTGGCAACGGCGACAGCGGGGGCGGCGGCGGCGGGGGCGGCGGCGGCGGCGACGCCACTCGGGGAGATGCACCAGATGCGGGTGTAGGTGCGCATGTAGCCGGTCCCAGCTCTTGCCGGCGCGCAGCGGCATACGTGAACGTCGCCTCCGGCGAGCGCGGTGGCGACGGGGGTGGGCACGGAGGACCCACACCCAAAGCATCGGCGGAGTCCTCGCGCGCGAGCGAAGCGGAGCTCAGCGCCTCGCGAGCGATGTTTGCAAGCACGAGCGAGGCAACCGTCGCGAGGGGCCAGGCCGCCGTGACGGTCAGCCGGAGGAGATATGAGCCGTAGCACGGGCCGGGAAGAAAGATGTCGGGGGAGAGTGCGGTCACCCACCTGGAGAGGCGGCGGCAGAGGGGCAGTCGGCGGCGGCGTGGATAGGGGTCCGATATTGGAATTCAGGCGGCTTACTACTAGGTGGCGGCGGCGAGGGTGACAGTGAGGCTGGGCGGCGGAGGGGCAGGTGGCAGCGGCTGGGCGGACCCAAAGAGACCGAGCAGAGACTCAAACTCCTCCGGGATGTCCATCTCGTAGACGTAGGGCGCCGCCCAGATGCACTGCACCATCGCGATGATGATCTTCATCTTGCTAGTCATCCCCGACTGCCGCCATAGCAACGCGTTTCGCCGCATGAGCTGCACGCCGTCGCGGAGGAGGCGCCGCTTCGGCATCCAGTCCGACGCGATGACCCACGAGAAGCCACCAACGAGCGCGCCCAAGGAGACAACCAGCGCGGCAATCTTCGCCAGTGAGAAGACGAGGCTTCCGCAGGGCCGACAGGAGGCGGATAAGAGATCGAAGTAGTGCCGCGGCGCGGCGCAGACCTCGCACCGCGGGCCAGCGTATCCTTCTGCACAGCTGGCCGAGCCGGCCTCCGGGCCCGCGCTGCAGGGCGAGTCGTCGCCGCTCACGGCACACTTGTGGAAGTCGGTGGTGCAGTTGGTGTGGCGCCACCAGCCAAGCTGGCTCGGCAGGGAGGAGAGCGAGACTGCCGTCGTGCAGTTGGCGCCCTCTTCCGGGCACTCCTCGCACGACCACTCCAGCGGGTCGTCGGCGCAATCAGCGAGGTAGAAGCCGATCTGGCACGTGCACTGCCTGATCATCTCCACCCCAAAACCGGCCGCTCGTGCGATGGTTTCCTTGGGGCACTCGACCGGCGTCACCGTGCCGGCTGGGCAGTAGAAGCCGAGCGGGCAGTCCAAGCAAGCGAGTGGGCTGCCCCCTCCTGCGTATGGGTTGTACGTGCCAGAGGGGCAAGGCGTCGCAAAAGCGGTACTCGACCCCATCCGACAATAGTGGCCCGCGGCGCACTGTCCGGCGCACTGTCCGCTGCTTGCGCCGGCGGCGTCTCCATAGTAGCCAGCGGCGCAAGGGGCAGGGGCGGTAGCGCCAGCGACACAGTGGAACCCGATCGGGCACTCGGCGCACTCGATGGCCTCTGTGAGGTTGGTGCTGCCGGAATAGGTTCCAGGTGGGCACGGCTGGGGGACGACGGTGCCGGCGCCGCAATAGCTCCCCGCGTCGCATGGCAGCGGCTCGACGGTGGCTGGGTATGGACACTGCGTTCCAGGAGGGCACTCCCCCGCGCACAGCCTGCTTGCCTGATGCGCAATATTAGTCGATCCCCGTATCCCAGATGCGCATGGGAGCGGAAAATGACTGTCGATGGGCGCCGTTGGCAGCTGGTACAGGTACTTGCCCAGAGTGGACGCGTCGGCCTTCCAGTCGCACGGCTGGACAAACGTGGCCGCGGTGCAGTTCTCGGGCGCCAAACAGGTGCCCCCATCGCACACGTCTGCAAGCAAAGCGCACGCGTCGCGCTCCTTTTGGCACTGGCTCTGGCTGTCGCCGTCCTCGCAGGGCGTCTCGTAGGCCTCACGAAAGACCACGCACCTCGCGTTCGGGAGCCAGTGCCCGTCGGGTGCAGGCAGCTCGTACTTGACCACTGCGCTGTCCACAAATACCGTCGATCCAATCCCTGCAGTGCCCCCACCGAGGGCTGTCCGGTCCGCCATCGTGACGTCGCCCGCCGCGAAAACCAAGCCGCCTCGCTCCGACGCCCGGCAGTCGGAGAGCGTGGAGTTGACCAGTCGGACCGGACCTTCGCCGCTGTCCCCGGCGGCCACGAAGACGGCCCCGCCATACCTCGCCTCGCACCGCTCGATCGAGGAGTGCCTCACGTGTACGCGGGACGAGCGGGCGAAGAGCGCGCCGCCCCTTGCCGCCGAGGCGCAGTCTACAAAGGCCACCTCCGAGATGTCGAGCCATGCGGACCGGGCGAGGATGGCGCCGCCGCTCTCGGAGCTCGAGAAGGCCGAAAAGATGCAGCGCGAGAGCAGCGCGGCGCCGCCCTCCCTCACGGCGAGAGCTCCAACGTCCAAGGACCGTTCACCGGCGACGTGGATGCCCCTGAGCTCGAGTCTCGCGCCTGTCCCGACCTCAAAGAGCCGCCCCTCGCCAGTGGGCGAGATGACGACGTCGCCGGAGCCTGCAGCGTACAGCGTGACGTTCGCGTCCTCCAGCACAAGGGCGTCCAGGAGATACTTGCCGGCGCTCAGGCGGATGCTCCTCTCCGACGCCCCCTCCTGACGCAACAGCTGCAACCGCAGGCCCTCGCTGTCAAAGACGTCAACATGTCCGTCGGGGAGAGGCGCCAGCGGCGGCGGCGGCGGCGCGGGTGGGGCTGGCGGAGCCGGCGGCGGGGAGGTTGGCAACGGCGCGCTCGGTGGGAGTGCTGGGCGAGGTGGCGGGGGCGGGGTGGCGGGTGGTCCAGGGGGTGCCGGGAAGATGTCGCGCCCGCCACAGTCGGCGCAGTCGGTAGAAAACGCGCACACGTCGTACTCGCTTCCGGGGCCTCCGTCGTCGCAGACGCCGTCAAAGGCAGAGCTGCAGCTTTTGCCGCACCCCGGAGCAGCAGGCGGCGGCGAAGGCGGGGGCGAGGGTGGCGGTGGCGATGGTGGCGGTGATGGAGGAGGAGGCGATGGTGGCGGGGGGGAGGGTGGTGGCGGCGACGGCGGCGGCGGGCTGGGTGGCGGCGGGCTGGGTGGTGGCGGCGACGGCGGCGGTGCGATGCGAGGCGT